CACACCCCTCACACCCATATCCCCATTCGCACAATAATAACACACACACACACACACACACACACACACACACACACACACACACAATAACACACACACACACACACACACCAAAATTCTCAGGTAAATATATTATGTAAATCAGAGTTTATCAAGTGTCTCCCACCAACAATGTTTATGCAAATCACATTCGGTGCGCCGCGGTTAGGTGGTGGTCTTCTGCGGGTATTGCCACTGTCAGCTGCGGGTGGTGGCGGACACAAACATCAATCAGGTATTGGCGTCTCTTTGTCTGAAGGCAACTGCCATTTAGGTGCGTGATTGCAGGCACGTTGGCTGATGAACAGATCGCACATCGCTCTGTTGGAAGATATAATGATTAAGCCCTCTGAGAGGCAATGTCAGAGAATGAAAGAGGATTGCATAACTATTATGCTATTGTACTAGTCGCTTAATATTGCACTCTGCCTGTGTTCTGTGTCTGTCTGTAAGTGTTGACAGGTATGGCAGTGAAGAGAAACAGACAGAGAGAGAGAGAGAGAGAGACTCATGATCTCACCATAACAGTTAGTGGTTCAGCGACAAATTACGTGTACATCTATATCTGTACATACACACACACACACACACACTCGACTCAAACATAAAATTTAATTAGTAACAAAACTCAAATTCACAAATTAAAATTAAACGCATTTCGAGGTCCTTATTATCGTGGTAGCTCAAGCCCACCTGAGATTGTGATCATTAAACTTAATAAGAAGATGTAGGTGAGTGTTAGAGGAGGCAATTTGTCGAGTAATGGCGGTGAATTGCATGAGGGAGAAGGTGGCTACTCATCTCAATGTTGGGCAGGGAGGAGTGGGGGTGAGAGGGAGGAGAGGGGTGAGGGAGGATGGAGAGGGAGGGCAGGGGAAGGAGGGAGGGCAGGGGAAGGAGGGAGAGCAAGGGGAGGAGGGAAGGTTAGGTGAGACGGAGAAGGGGAGGAGAGAAAGATACTGGGTATGGGGAAGGAGGAAGGGTAGAGAAGGGTGGGAGGAGGGGTAAGGATAAGGGAGGAAAGAGTGGGGAAAGGGGTTAAGGGAAATAAAAGAAGAAGGAGAGAAAATGGTGATGAGGCAGGAAGAGATACAGTGTGTGTGTGTGTGTGTGTGTGTGTGTGTGTGTGTGTGTGTGTGTGTGTGTGTGTGTGTGTGTGTGAAGAAATAGAAGGAAAGGAAATGAAGGAAAGGAGAAGAAAGAAGGTAATAAAAGGGGGAGACAGACTAGAAAACGGAAAGTAGAAAGAAAATGACGAAAGTAAGAAAAAAAATATGAGAGAACGAAGAAAAACTTGAGAGGAAAAATGAATAAAAAAGAAAAAAAATAGAGAGAATGGAGACGAGGTAATAACATAGGGAAGAGAGAGTAAGAAGAATGGAAGAGGGAAGAACTAAGAAGAAGGGGAATAAGATAAGATGAAGTAAAGGAAGAAACTTAAAATGACTTAACTGCATATTTTTAGTTAATCACTTATACTGAAAACAGAACAATGTATGTATGTATGTATATATGTATGTATGTATGTATGTATGTATGTATATATGTATGTATGTATGTATGTATGTATGTATGTACGTATGTATGTATGTATGTAACACCCGTGGAACAATAGAGTTGTTCTGGTTAAAGACAACATGTACAGTACAACAGAAAACAACAGATGTGCAGAGAAAAAAAACAGCTGTGAAAATAACAGCAACAGTATTTACAACAGGTATAGCAATAACGGTATTAACGAGAGCAGCTGCAATAGTCAACAGAAGCATTAACAGTATAAACAACAGTTGAAACAGCTATAACAATATCAACAGTAGTATTAACAATTAACAGAAAATTTAACAACAGAAGCAACAACAGAAATAACCATAATAATATCAACTACAATAGTCAACAGATAACCCCTTAACAGATTCAACAACAGACAGCAATCGTCAACAGATAACCCCTTAACAGATTCAACAACAGACAGCAATCGTCAACAGATAACCCCTTAACAACAGTCAACAGCAGACAGGTATGGTGATATCAAGAATGACAGCATCACCAACAGCCAACTGAAGGAACTGGGGCAGAACCCTCATCCACAGCGGCAAATTAGACAGCATTAAGCAGGAGCAGAAGCAGAAAGAACACCAGCAGGCAAGAATCAAGAGGCATCATCCTCACCAAGAACAAAAGTAGTAAAGCAGTAGGTGATGAATAAATGAGGTAGACACGGTAGCAAAAGGAGGAAGAGGAGTAAAGGGAGAGGACAACAGCAGTAGTGGCAGCAGAAGGCGTGGAACTTGAGGTAACATTACAGCAGAAGGCGTGTGCATGCGATAACATTACAGCGGAAAGCGTGGTACATGAGGGAACATTACAGCAGAAGGCGTGGCAGAGGGGGTAATAGCAAGAGGAGGAGGCGGGTTACAGTAAGCAGCAGCAACAGAGTTTGGCAGTCAGTCGCCCCCCGACACCCGACGAGGCAGGAGGTTCTACAAGAAGCAGCGGTCCCCAACACTCACCTTGCGGGACTCTCCGTCGCGCTCGGTCAAGGAACTCCCCACGCGCCCCAGGTGTTCACGACGCCACTCTACCTGCCAACCTTGTGGCTTCGGCCTGCAGCAGGGCTTGCGGCTTATTTTGCGGGTGGAAGTATTTCCATTTGTGGTCAATGATTTAGTGAGAGTGTGTGTTTATTGTCACACCAAAATACTGATTACGCAAAGCAGTTGTCATACGATCACCGGCAAGGCGTAGCTGGACACAACTTATCGGTATCCTGCCAGTGTATTACAACTACCGTTACAGACAATCATCTAAATTGCGACTTTCCGGATAATTACCTAAGCGGCCCACAGGTCCTCTCCAAGTGTCTCTCTCACCCCCAGGGCGTGAACAAGGGCGCCGTTTCCAGTCTGTATCAGTTCTCTCCTCCTCTACTTCTCGTACACCCCTCCCCTCCTCCCGTCATCCTCCGCAGGGTCAAGTGATAAGCAATTTCTCACACTCACCTCTGCTACCACTTCTCATATATGCTCTAAGAACTTCATCTTGAAAGTCATCTATACTGTATGCATACACACGAACTTCTCAGAGCCGTTGTGTACATCTTAAGAACGCCTCGTAATCGTTATTCATCAGCTGGCCTCAACCAACATACTGTAACTGTTAACTGAAATGGTTATCAACTTTCGAGATTTAATATAGCTTATGAAAGGCATTTGTCCTTAGACAATTATCTTGTTTTACAAACCTGATAAAATAAGAAATTAACCAAGATAATTAAATAACATTAAGAAGAAAACGAAAATAAACAGTTACACGAGGAGACAGAAGTTTTAGGCCCGTCGTCCTGCGTTGTTTGGAGTGTTTACCTGTGGTGTTGCCACCTGGTGGTCGGTGTCTCCGCTGACCGCTCGTGACTCCCCTGCTCACCGCACACCGCAACAACAACAAAAGAAAAGAAGGAAGTGTCCGCTTGCGGCGACACGTCCCACGCAGCAGACTAATGGTGAGTATTGGACACCTGTTATCTCTGGTTTTCTGTATTTCTCTTATATATACGGACAAATGTTATCATAGCTGTATACTTCTGTTCTACTCTGTTACAACATTTATAAGACCTAATGTCTATGTTGTAAGCTGCAGGGAACCACCGTGATTATTATTATTATTATTATTATTATTATTATTATTATTATTATTATTATTATAGGAACCACTTATGCGCACTACCTCACCAATTGTTTTATTTAGCTTAATACTTTCGTTTGTTGAGGATTTTACCATTATGTTTTACTGTCAATAAATCTTTTTCTCTATGTGGTCTCCGGTCCGTGTGTGTGTGTGTGTGTGTGTGTGTGTGTGTGTGTGTGTGTGTGTGTGTGATACCTTTAAAAAAATAACACTGGTGTTTGAGGAAAATGTTAGACTGGCTATCTCAGACCTCATAAAAGTTCGACATTCACTCCTCTGTGGCTTTTATGGTCTCGCGGACATTACTGTGGTGTGGCGGTGACGAAGAGGAACTTAACTCACCTTCAGGAACAACCTTGGCTTTTATTATCCACCGTAGGGCACCGAAGAAGGGGGGAGGGGAGGGGGGGGAGAGGAAAGAAAATTAATAATTATCCATCGTTCTTCTGGTCAGGTTGACACCATAACCATAAACTTGATGAAACTTTGTGAATATTAAAGTAACTTAAAAAAAAATATCTGAGATGAATTGGAAGAAAATTATTAATATTTTCTTCTATACTTGGAGGAGTTATGGAAGTTGTTTTTTTTTATTACTAGGGACGGAAAGAGAAGGATGGGGGAGGAGGGAGGGGGAGGGGGGAGGGAGGGGGGGGAGATAACCTTGCTTGTGGTTACCCCTTTGATGATGATTTTGTTTCGTATAACCAGCTTCGTCCTTAGTCACCTCTCTCTCTCTCTCTCTCTCATTATCTCTTTCGGTTCCTGGTCTCTTCTTCTATATCATTCTCTCCTTTCCTGTTCTTCTTTCACTCTCTATATCCTCTCTCTCCCCTAATCTTCTTCACCAATCATTCTTTCCTCTGGCCCTCCTCTTTATTTATTTCCTCACTACATCTTTCTCTCTTTCTTTATTCACTAACTTCCTCTTCGACCTTCACCTGCTCTTCGTTCTATTGTTCTCGTGTTCTCCCCCTGTCTCTCTCTAACCCCCCACGATAAATCGGCAACAATTTCAGGCAGTGTTCCCAGACAATAGCCACACGGGGGAAAAATGTAGAGGTGGTTCATTCTCAGCCAGACATTGACCTTGAGTGAGTGACCCTCAATAAAGCCATAAGTTTTACATTTTCTGTCTGTCTGTCTGTCTGTCTGTCTGTCTGTCTGTCTGTATGTCTGTCTGTCTGTTACACTGTTTATACCTCAGTATTTGACGTTGAATAGCCCCTTTGTTTATCAGAATTTCACAATGTTTATTTCCGAGAATTTAATGGTGCTTGAATGTGAATGACTGACTGACTCTCTAAATGATTTTTTTTTTGTATCTTAGAGTGTAATGGATGTTGAATGTGAGTAATTTGTTCTTAACGTCATAGTATATTTGTAAAAAGAAGCTGCATACCTTTTTCCTATAAGAATTCAGGACTTATTATTATGTGACGCTCCTAGACGGTTTTGGTCTCGTAATTCAACATTGGTTTTAGGTTAAATTTTGAAGGACATTTAACTTGATAATCTTAACAATAAACAAATATATTTATTGTTTATCTTTAACATACCACAATACTTTTTTTTTTATTGTAAACTTTGTGATTATTGAAATTAGTTAATTATCTGATAGTAAATGAGTGAATCCTACCATTATTTTTTTTCATAGTTTATATAATATGACATTTAATACTTTTTTTTACTAGATTTCTATACTTTTTAATAATTTAGATTTTGATAGTTTGGGATACTAGGTGAGAGAGGCTTTACTTTAATACTTTTTCACACGTCAGTAAATAATTTGTTCTTATCACAATTCAGCAAAGTCTTGGGGCCTCTAGAATTTGATGATACATTGATATTATTCTTAAGTTTAAAATTCATACTTTGATAGTAGTTTGAATCTATGGTGACGAGCCTCTAACGCCGGTATTTACTTACAATTTAACACTGAAATAGTGTATACGTGTTTATGAATGAATATACAGTATATGTATAGGTGTGTGTGTGTGTGTGTGTGTGTGTGATACCCATCCTCCAGTTACTGCCGTGGTTAACATTGGTAGCGTCCAAACCTGTGTGGCCACATTCTTGAGGCGTTTACGGTACCGTGTTTTACTAATGATTGGCAACTGCTCCTGGGAATTATACGGACTGGCGTGTCTTCATGTGTGAGAGAGAGAGAGAGAGAGAGAGAGAGAGAGAGAGAGAGAGAGAGAGAGAGAGAGAGAGCTCACCCACCAAGACAATATCAACACTCGTAAGTCGCCCTAAACTACATATGCAACACAAACCATCGTCTGGTCATACACCACAACAACACAATACCACAACAACACAATACCACAACACCACACCACCACAAATTGAAGAGGAAATTCCACCTCCTGGTCGCTGATCCTCCTGAAGGCCCACCAGGAGGGAAATGTTCGAGCCGTGAATAGTGTGTTCTATCAGATCGTTGGTATGATAGATTCAGGTTCCTTAAAAGGTCAAAATATCGTTTAGGTGTTCAACTTAAGGTAATTTGAGGTCAATGGGTTAAAAAAGAGTCAATTTAATGATATATTGAAGTCAAAATATGTCTCTTTAATCTAGCAACTTTGAGGTGAAGAGGACATTAGCCAACCTCTCAACCTCCAAGACAGAAATTAAACTCATTGAGATTGACCTATGACATCTTGGCCTCGTAGATGGTCAAAGGTTAATCCCAGGTCATGAAATATTCTTTATCTCTGGTGGTGTAAGTAACAAAGGTCGGGGAAGGTCACTGGTCAAGTGAAACAAGGACAGGTCTACACCATACTGTACCATAGAGGTAACGTGGACAGCCATCTTCCATTTCTTCAGTTGTGAATTTTAGGTACCCATTCACAGCTGGGTTGACCCCCCCCCCACCTACAAACATATGTAATGTTCCTCAGGCAGAAGACAATCGTTATATACACTCAATCTTCGCACACATACACACACTTGACACACACACACACACACACACACGTTCACATTGAAACATACATAAACACCCATACTTTGACGCACATGAGAATAGGTACATATTCAGATAGGAACACACACACACACACACACACACACACACACGTTTGCACACACACACACACACACACACACACACACACACACGAACCTTCTCACGCACATGACCAACAAACCACACAGGATGGTACTTAAATTCCACAAAGCAGAAATTCCTTCAGCAGAAGATTAAGTGACTCACCCTTAAGGCATACGTCACTATAATCACCCGAGAGTTACTTGTTGAACTGGAGCTTCCGGTTTAAGTGCTTCCGTCTCTTGCTTTACTTACTTACTTGTTTGGTTTTTGTTTTGTTTATTGTTTAAGTAAAGTGAAGTAGTCCATTAAGTAATATATATTAACTCTTTTAAGCGATAAATTATTTCCTTGAGAAAGATGACATTGCTCTGAAAGGGTTAAGTCATCGTACTGAAAGGGTCAAGTCATCGTACTGAAAGGGTTAAGTCATCGTACTGAAAGGGTTAAGTCATCGTACTGAAAGGGTTAAGTCATCGTACTGAAAGGGTTAAGTCATCGTACTGAAAGGGTTAAGTCATCGTACTGAAAGGGTTAAGGCATCGTACTGAAAGGGTTAAGTCATCGTACTGAAAGGGTTAAGTCATCGTACTGAAAGGATTAAGTCATTGTACTGAAAGGGTTAAGTCATCGTACTGAAAGGGTTAAGTCATCGTACTGAAAGGGTTAAGTCATTGTACTGAAAGGGTTAAGTCATCGTACAGAAAGGGTTAAGTCATCGTACTGAAAGGGTTAAGTCATCGTACTGAAAGGGTTAAGTCATCGTGCTACAGAAGGTTAAATGTCAACACTGAAAGGGGTTAAGTCATCATGCTACCAGAAGGGTTAAGTCATCGTACTGAAAAGGGTTAAGTCATCATGCTCAAAGTTAAGTCATCGTACTGAAAGGGTTAAGTCATCATGTCAAGGGTTAAGTCATCGTACTGAAAGGGTTAAGTCATTGTACTGAAAGGGTTAAGTCATCGTACTGAAAGGGTTAAGTCATCGTATTCAAGGGATTAAGTCATCATGCTCAAAGGTTTATTTCAACACAACTAGTAAAAGTTCGGCTTTTGAGAGATTTGGTATAGTTAGGTTAGGTTTGGTTAGGTTAGGTTAGCCTTGATATGGTTAACTTAGGTCAGGTTAGATCAGGTTATCGTTGGTTAGGTTAGATTTGGTTAGGTTAACTTAAGTTAGTTTAATTCTAGCTAGTACACTTTCATAAAACTATCTCTCGGTTTTTTTTTTCAATTATATTTCTTATCAATAACATTCCTATCAATAACTTTTCAATAATACTTAAAAGAAATAAAAACAAAAACAATATAACGCATAGGGATTGTATTCTACCTGGTAATACTTAATAAAGGTAATCCAGAACATGAGGCGTTATTAACCACCTCAACCCGTATACACAGAGGCTACACATTTTCCTCACGAGCGAAAAAAAAAATTATCTTCGGGAAAATAGTGTAGGAAAATTAAAAGCTTAACTGGTTAAAGACAGGAATTTATCTCAAAGTTATAGGAATTTGTCTGGAATTTTTAGGAATTTATCTGGAATTTTTAGCACATGAAGCGTGAAAATGGTGGAGTGAAAAATATTAATAATTAATAGGTGTCACAAGCGTATGGTTGAGATGTGACTCACTTGGGAGGGAGGGAGGGAGGGAAAAGGGGAAGGAAAGGAGGGAGGGAGGGAGGGAGGGAAAAATGGAAGGAAAGGAGGGAGAGAGGGAGGGAGGGAGGGAGGGAGGTCTACAAGATAAGGC